TTTGAACAAATTAAGATTTTTGTAAATAAATGAATCACATAGTGAAAAAATGACTTTTTTTTTTTTATTTTTCTGTTAAAAAACGCTTAAGATTGCTCCTAATTCTTGAATACTTAACTTTACAAATGGCACCCCATAGTAATCCTACTTTCTTTAGTCACAACTCAATATTCTTTTATATGTTAAATAGGTAAAATATATTCCATTAAGTTTAGAAGAAGGCTGTTTTTTATCCTTTAGTGGAAGGAGATTCATTTTCTACACCTGAGTTTCAGTTAATCTTTAAAACTCATGGTAGCATGAGGAACAGTAGACTCTACAACCCATACTAGGGGCTCAGATAGTGCAGCTTATCCAGGATGACACATCAATGCGAGCTGTGGCAAGAAGGTTTGCTAAATCTGTCAGCAAAGTGTCCAAAGGCTGGAGACGCAACCAGGAGACAGGCCAGTACACCAGGAGACGTGGAGGATGCCATAAGAGGGCAACAAACAAGGAGCAGCACCGCTACTTCTGCCTTTGTGCACACAGGGAACAGGAGGAGCACTGCCAAAGCCCTGTGCCTCCATCCGACCGCAAAAGTGAATGTGTGTGATCAGACTCCTTTTGCTCACAGACCAACTGACCTGTATGAAGTTTCGAGACACCGTGGAGAACTATCTGCTGCTGCAACATCCTTCAGGATGACCAGATTGGCAGTGGGTCAGTGATGGCGTCAGGTGGCATTTTTTAGAGGGTCCCATATGTGCTCACCAGAGGTAGCATTTTTTTTCTATAGGTACGAAGATGGGATCCTCAGACCCCCTTATGAGACCATATGATGGTGCAGTTGGCCCTGGGTTCCTCCTAATGGAGAAAAATGCTAGACCTCAAGTGGCTGCAGTGTGTAAGCAGTTCCTGCAAAAGCAAGGCATTAAAGCTATGGACTTGCCCAACCATTCCCCTGACCTGAATCTGATTGAGTATATATAGGACGTCATGTCTCTGTCATACAGCGTAAACATGGCGGGAGTCCATGTGAGGACTCCAGCCAGCTGACCTGCTTTCTCCTTGAACACCCGTCCGGGTATGTTGTTCGGGCCTGGGGCCTTCTGTGGGTTGACTCTCCTGAGATTCTTCCACATGTCTGCTGTGGCAGAGTGCCTCCTCTCCCTGATGGTAAAACATTTTCACTGCTAGAGTGCTTTTTAGTGCCATTTTGGAAGTCAGCATCAGCTACACCCACCGGGGGGTAGGCTGTCTGTGTAATCTCCCCTATGCCTTGCCACATGCTCCTGGTTTTACTGACATTGTTGAAAATATCCTTGATTTTCTGGCACAGTTCAAGTTAGCTCTCACTGTCTTCACTGTCTCTCTCTGTCACCAGACTTGAAGGCTGAGTTCCATGCTTTCAGCGTTTAATGAACCTTCTCATTAATCCAAGGTTGTAGGTTGGGTAATAATGTTTTTTGTGGTGCTGACATTCTCAATGCTTTTGTTTATGTAGCCTGGTATAGTCATGGCTTACTCATCGATATTGATCTTATTGTCATATGTTGCTGCAGCTTTAAACATGTACCAGTCAGACCATTCAAAATAGTCCTGGAATGCCTCCATGGCCCCCTCAGTCCACACCCTCACCTGCTTCACTGTAGGTTTTGCTCTGATCAGCAGGGGTTTGTATGCAGGTATTAGCATACATACATTATACAGGTAATACAGGTATTAGCATACATAATAAGAGGTCTGAACATACATAATAGGTGATCTGAAAAGCCAAGGTGTTGTCGGGGGGTGCTCTTGTTGCCAACAAGATGCGGCGGGCGCCGCCGAGAGTGTCCCGGATGCTGGAGCCCCAGAGAACATGCAGGAGTATGAAGCCAGGTCAGACAAACAGAACATAACAGGAACTGGCAGGCTCAGCAGCCCAGCAGGTCAAAGTCAGGTAAGGCAACAGATCAAAACAGAACAGGTTGAGAGGCAAGTCAGGATCAGACAGGAACAGGCAGGCCCAGTGATTGAGAGGAAGAACTGGTCAGGATCAGGACATTCAAACACTAAGGATCTCTTAAAAACCCTCTCACCACTGGCTAGAGAGAACAGGAATAATGGCCATGATGACTGGGACCAAACACCTTAAATATAGGCAGGAGGATTAGATGAGCAGTGATTGGAAATTGGGCAGAATTATACAGGTGAATGAAATGAATAATTACGCCATTTATCAGCTCCGGGATCATGAGTCTAGAATGTTCTGTACCCCAGTTTCAAAATCCACATGTTGGTTAAAATGTGGTAGAACAGTCTTCCAATTGGCCTTGCTAAAAACCCCAGCAATGAGGAAAACAACCTCTGTGTTTGCAGATTGAAGCTCAGAGATTCTTTAGTATTAGGACAGGGAGCCACAGACACAGCAGTGATGCTAACAACAGTAAATTCCCTGGGAAGGTAAAAAGGTCTGCAGTTAGCAGTAAAAAGCTTGATGTCTGGAGGGAGGAAGCTGGCAACCAATCTAACATTTTTAATTCTGCCTTTTTTTGGTGAGTATAAGCAAGGATGCATGCAAAAGGTGCAGGACAGTGGCACACTCGAGGACTGATGATGCGTACCACAGATGTAGTGTTTTTCCACTTTAATTTTGTGTGGCTTCCTAACCAGGTCAACATCGATGAATACTAGTAATGGGCCGTTATCTGCGTTAATGACTGCGTTAACGCCAGACTGTTATCAGGCGATAAAAAAAATATTAACCTATTGTAAACCTATTCTCATAGTTGGGTTGGGAGCTAGTAGTAGTGTAGTAGAGTAGTTTCCTCGTGCTCAGTTACTTTAATTATTTTGCTAATAATTTATTGTCTTATTATGGTATTTTATTACTATTATTGAGAACAAAGCTAAAATAACCCCCAAAAATGTGTAATTGGTTATACCTTTCATTGAGCATTTAGATTGTTTTGTCAGCTCCTGTATTTTGAGCAGGACCTTTATTTTTGAAGCAAATGCAGGTTTTGTGACTAAGAAAGGAAGCATTACTGACTTTCAGAACTTCTAATGATACTTTAGGAGATCATGGGGCCACACAGTTATTTTAATTCAATTCAACTCAGTTTATACAGCGCCAATTCACAGCATATGTCATCTCAAGGCACTTTACAGAGACCTTCTAAATGTATGAAATAATCAATATGTTGGAATTGAATGTAAAAATAAAATAAGTTTTGGTTATTGTTTCCACACCAAACCTTAAGGTTAAAATTTATAACAGGTTTCAGATGTTTAATCCCATGAATAACCACAGTTAGATTGTTGTCTATTTGCATTCTAACTTAACATAAATGTTTTATGAGACATACTAGTGTCTGTTTGTTCAGCAGGGTGACCTGTTGGAGTCAGTAAGAGAATTTCCATAAATTCCATTTGCATCAGCAGCTCCATGCTCCAGTGCTCAGGGAGAGTTTATAGTTCCTACAGTTGAACACTTGATGACTGACAGCTGTCCTTCACTAAAACTGGAGACACAGAAATCCTCCTCATCAAAAACATGACTTTGATCTGCGTCCTCATCTGGACTCTCCTCTGCTGCTGCTTCACAGGTAAAATCCAGAGAATCAAACTCCTCTTCTCTATGAACATCTGTCCTTCTGAAATGAAGCCGACAAACCATGAAGCTGCTTTATGTTTGTGTCTCTGTGTCCTCAGAGTCCAGAGGTCAGGTCACAGTGACTCAGCCTGCAACATTAAGAGCTGATCTGGGAGGATCTGTTACCATCAGCTGTAGGACCGGTCAGAATGTTTATGTTTACAGCAACAACCACTATTTAGCCTGGTATCAAAAGAAAGATGGTCAACCTCCAAAGCAGCTCATTAATCGGGCTAAATATCGAGACTCAGAAACTCCAAGTCGTTTTTCAGGCGGTGGATCACACTCTGACTTCACTCTGACCATCAGTGGAGTTCAGGCTGAAGATGCTGCAGTTTACTACTGTCAGAGTTATGACGATTATTTGTTCACACTGTGAAACACAGTCATACAAAAAACCCCCTCAGTCAAATGTGAACAGAAACTCATGCTGAATCCCATCTGACACATCTCAGTAAACACACATACTGTACACAGAGTAATGGAGATTGTTTGTAAATATTTTTTCTACACTAATACATTTATATAAAAGGTACACATAAAATTTTTGATTTTGCAGGTGGTTTTGACTTTTATTTTAAATTTTGAAAATTTTATTACACCTGGAACAATGAATTTTGTTGTTTTTTGGTGGAAGATACAATTATTAAACAAGACTGAACTTAAACAACTTAAAGACAGATACACTGCTCAAAAAATTAAAGGAACAACTTGAAAACACATCAGATCTCAAATGGGAAAAAATCATGCTCTTTATTTATACTATTATGGATTGGGTGATGTGTTAGGAACAAAAGGATGCCACATCATTTGATGGAGATGAAAAATGATAAACCTACAGAGGGCTGAATTCAAAGACACCCTAAAAACTACAGTGAAAAAATTATGCGGCAGGCTAGTCAATTTTGCTGAAATTTCATTGCTGCAACTCAAAATGGTATTCAGTAATTTGTATGGCCCCCATTTGCGTGTATGCATGCCTGACAATGTTGGGGCATGCTCCTAATGAGACGACGGATGGCATCATGGGGTATCTCCTCCCAGATCTGGACCAGGGCATCACTGAGCTCCTGGACAGTCTGAGGTGCAACCTGGCTGCGTCGGATGGATCGAAACATAATGTCCTAGAGGTGTTCTATTGGATTTAGGTCAGGCAAGCGAGGGGGCCAATCAATGGTATCAATTCCTTCATCCTCCAGGAACTGCCTGCATACTCTTGCCACATGAGGCCGGGCATTGTGGTGCACTAGGATGAACCCAGGACCCACTGCACCAGCATAGGGTCTGACAATGGGTGCAAGGATTTCATCCCGATACCTAATGGCAGTCAGGGTGCCATTGTCTAGCCTGTATAGGTCTGTGCGTCCCTCCATGGAAATGCCTCCCCAGACCATCACTGACCCACCACCAAAGCGGTCATGCTAAACGATGTTACAGGCAGCATAACGTTCTCCACAGCGTCTCCAGACCCTTTCACGTCTGTCACATGTGCCCAGGGTGAACCTCCTCTCATCTGGGAAAAGCACAGGAGGCCAGTGGCAGACTTGCCAATTCCGGTGTTCTGTGGCACATGCCAATCAAGCTCCACGGTGCCGGGCAGTGAGCACATGGCCCACTAGAGGACGTTGGGCCCTCAGGCCACCCTTGTGAAGTTTGTTTCTGATTGTTTTGTCAGAGACATTCACACCAGTGGCCTGCTGGAGGTCATTTTGTAGGGCTCCTCCTGCTCCTCCTTACACAAAGGAGCAGATACCGGTCCTGCTGATGGGTTGTAGACCTTCTTTGGCCCTCTCTCGCTCTCCTGGAGTAACTGCCGGTCTCCTGGAATCTCTTCTATGCTCTTGAGATGCTGAGAGACATAGCAAAACTTCTGGCAATGGCACGTATTGATGTGCCATCCTGGAGGAGTTGGACTGCTTGTGCAACCTCTGTAGGGTCCAGGTAGCACCTCATGCTAACAGTAGTGACAGTGACCCTAGCCAAATGCAAAACTGGTGAAAATGAGTCAGAAAAGATGAGAAGGGGAAAAAAATATCAGTGTCCTCCACCTGTAAAACCATTCCTGCTTTGATGGTCGTCTCGTTGTTGCCCCTTTAGTGCACCTGTTGTTAATTTCACTAACACCAAAGAAGCTTAAACTGATTAACAACCCCCTCTGCTACTTACCTGACCAAATCAATATCTCAGTAGTTAAATTAACTTGATGCTATACTCTGTTTATAAAGTGTTCCTTAAATTTTTTTTGAGTAGTGTATAAGAAAACTCAACATGGAGTGTAACATCTTCCTTCAAAATTGAATTAACTGAGTTCTCCTCCCCCAAATGAAAGTTAACTTCAGTAGATCATTATCAGATAATGCAGAAATACAAATTTTAAAAAGCCTGTTCCACTTTCTTTGTCCTGAATGTCACTGAGCAGTGCTCCAGAGGGCAAACATTTAATCTATCCGTCTATGCTGATGGGGTTACTAGCTCCCTGCGCACTGCCTTAGAAAATGTAGCCCTTTGAAAAAGAATACCTTTAAATAGAAAGCTAGTTCCTGGTTTAATGTAGAGCTGTGCACTTTCAACTGAAATGCTAGGAAACTGGAGAGAAAGTGGTGCTCTACATGTTAACAGGATTCCTGCCCGGAAAAAACAGCTGACTATTGTATAAAATGACCATTCGTAAACAAGAGCAGAATATTTCTCATTGCTAATAGAGGAGAACAAGAATACCCCTAGATATATTTTTCACACAATTGCCACACTCACCCAGAACCTCCCATCCCCTTGAACTATCTAACATACATGGATCAGTCCATGTATGTTAGATCCTGCTCCAAACAGGTTATTTAAGGAAGTACTCCCTCTCATCTCCTCCTCCATTTTAGATATCATTAACCTATTCCTGTTACAGGGACATGTTTATCAGGCTTTTTTCCCCATTTTTTTGTTTTACAGTGTCCTGTCTGGCATTGTGGGAATAAGAGTAATTGTCTTGATGCCAAAAAGAGTATCGATGAGTAAAGACAGAGGTCCCCCAACTGTTATACACCAAACATGCATGTTCTCCTCTAGTCATCATATCATGATGAAAAATGGACACTGGTTCCCAATGTCCAAAAACCATGGTCATGGCATATGGCACAACACTGTTCTCCCCCATGTGGACTTTGCAACTTGGGATGAAAACACTTTAGACCTGGTTTACTCTAACATCAAAGATGCATTCAGAGCAGCCCCACCTAGGGTCATCAGATCATCTCTCAATCATGCTTATCCCTGCATATAAGCCCCAGCTGTTCAGGGCTAAATCGACAGTTAAAGAGTTCTGAGTGTGGTCTGAGGGCGCCATGGAGACACTCCAAGACTGTTTTGAATGATCTGACTTGAACATCTTCAAGGCTGCAGCAACATATGACAACTTATTAAATATTGACGAGTATGCCATGAGTGTGTCAGCCTACATTAACAAATGCATTGAGGATGTCAGCATAAAAAAGAACATCACCACCCGGGCCAACCAACCACCCTGGATGAATGGAGAGGTTCGAAAATCACTAAAAGCACTGAACTCAGCTTTCAAGTCTGGTGATAAAGAGGCATTAAGAACAACTTAAACCGTGCCATCAGATCAGCAAAGCAGAACCACAGCCTGAAGATCCAGGATCTTTTCCAATACAACAGCAACACCAAGAGGATGTGGAAAGGCATTCGGATGATCACAGACTACAACACACCCTCCCCCTGGTAGATGCAGCAAACACTGACTTCCTAAATGGAGTGAACAACTTCTTTGGAAGGTTTGAGGCAGTAAACAGCACTCCAGCAGTGAAAGCCATTCCACACCAGGGTTAGGTGTCATGAGCCGAGGACAGAAGGACCCAGTATTCAAGGACAGACAGTCAGTAGGAAAGTTCAAAACGTTTATTAAATAAACAAAATAACAAAAGCGGAGGTGTGGCTCGCGGACACTGCAGGTGGGGTGGGTGTTGGGGGGGTGGGGTCACCGCCCAATCTCAGACACTCTAGGGGAGAAACACAGGTAAGTGACCATGATCATCTGACTGAAGATGATGGTCTCAGTGAGTCACTTACCTGGTTTAGCAGTTCAGTCCATACCCCGTGAGGGGTGCAATCCAGCCGATGGGCTGACAGCTGACACAGCTCGCGTCACCCAGAGTGTCCCCAGTGCTGCAGCTCCGGAGGAGTTGGGGGAAGCCGATCCTAATCAGGGATGCAGATCCGGCAGGAACAGACAGAACAGGTTGCAGATCCGGCAGGAACAGAACAGGTAGTAGGATCCAGGTTTCCAGGCTTTAACAGAGCTCCGGGACAGGAGGGTTCAGAGTCTGACTGGGACCAGAAGCATGAACAGGTGGTCACGTACAGGAGCAGACAGGATCAGGTGCAGATAGGCAGGCACAGTGGAAGAGGGTAGCCGGGACAGGACGTGGAACAGGAACTTGAAGCAGGACTTTAAACTGGTCTCCTCCCTGGAGCCAAGCTTACTGGATAAAACCTGAACCTCCCCACAATTGAGCCAAAAACCCAGAGGACTCCGCGGGGGAGGAACAGTGGACGATCAGGAGACGAGACAAACACAAAAACCTCTCTCCACTGGCAGCTAGGATCCAGGACATGAACCATGAAATCAAACTGAACAGACAGACTAACAAAAAGACAAGTAATGATCTGGCACTGAATGCTCAGGCTGAACTGAATATAAATCAGAGGAAACAGGTGAGGGGAATAAATTGTAATTGAGGCAGGGAGGGAAAGTGGCAGGTGAGAGGAATTACTAATTAGGGAGGAGCAAACAGGCCAGATCATGACGTTAGGAGGCACTAAACCTGGACGTAGTTGAAGTGAGGAAAACTATGAGGAGAGACAACCCAAGGAAGGCCCCAGGGCCTGATAACATACCTTGGTGGGTGTATAAGGATTGTGCAGATCAGCTGGCTGGTGTCCTCACAGACACTTTTAACACCTCGCTGGACTGATCCATAGTGCCAGCATGCTTCAAGTCTGCAACTATTATTCCAATCCCAAATAAGCCTCAGGTCATTTCACTCAATGATTGACCTGTCGCACTGACTCCAATTATGAAGAAGTGCTTCGAAAGGCTGGTTAAAGAACACATCTTCTCCAGTCTGCCGCCAACATTCGACCCGTTCCAGTTTGCCTACTGACGCAACCGCTCCACTGAGGACACCATCTCTGCTGCTCTCCACCTGAGCCTGGCACACCTGGAGGAGAAGAACACTCATGTGCAAATGCTGTTCCTGAACTTCAGTTCAGCTTGCAACACCATCATCCCACAGCATCTGACGGGAAAACTGAAACAGCTGGGCTTCATTGCACCCCTCTGCAATTGGCTGCTAGACTTCCTCACCAACAGACCTCAGTCAGTCCAGGTTGGACAGAACACCTCTGATGTCATCAGTCTACGCACAGGCTCCCCTCAGGGCTGCACCCTGAGCCCCCTGCTGTTCACACTGATGACACACGACTGCGTCCCCAGGTTCACCACCAATCACACGGTGAAGTTTGCCACCACGGTGGTGGGCCTCATCAGAGACGACAACGACCTGGACTACAGAGAGGAGGTGGAGCAGCTGGTAGACTGTTGCAAAGATAACAGCCTGATCCTGAACATGGAGAAGACGAAGGAGATCATCTTGGACTTGGACTTTCTTCAGTAACATTAGGCTTTGGATGAGAACAATAGGGAATATAGAATTTTTTTTTTGTATTACTAAGCTCTGTTTTTGTTGTACCAATTCTGTCCTTTTTACCATTAGATACAAAATGATGTATCGGACCAATTCTACAAGTCAACAATTCTACAAACTGCACCACCGTGGAGCCTTAGTAGAAACTAATAATGATAGATAGACTTGTGTGTTACATTACTTCTTTCACCTGACTTATGTTTGTTTTTAGTTAACAGTAATTTAGCCATTTTATTACTTGGTTGTGCAATGTTCAGGAGGTAACTAGAACAAGCTACTTTTTGGTATCTGTCCTCTTATAGAATTTACAGGCGTGGGAGGAGACTGTAGGTTTAAGTTTACTAGACAGGTACATATCCATCAAAATGACAGTGTTCAAGCTATTACTAGAAAGTTTGTTACCATTCATAGTTTCCATTGTCTTTAGATCAATATCTGGTGTGCCTGTCTCTGCCTGAGATAATACTAATTTGTGACTTGAAACTCTAATCAAGTCACAAATCGTCACACTTTTAAACATCTAAGGCTACGTTCACACTGCAGCCTGAAGTGACCAAAATCCGATTTTTTTGCCCATATGCGACCTGGATCTGATCTTTTCATGGCAGTCTGAACAACACAGATCCGATTTTTTCAAATCTTACTCAGTCCACTTGGCTATGTGGTCCTGAATCCGATACGAATCAGATCTTTTCAAATGCGACCTGTGTGTGAACGGCCCGGTCGGATTCATCCGACCGGGCCGTTCACACACAGATATTAGTTCTGGCAACAGGCAGGTAATATTAGGGATAACAGACTCACACATCAGTAAATATAAGAATCCTAACAGGAGGGAAGACTTTTAACTGCTGAGATGGTGCTGAGAAAGGAAAAAAATCCTTTCTTAATTAGGAGGGATCTAAAACAGAGTAGATATTTGATATATTTTTGTTGGAGTAATGAACTTAGTAACTCTGCAATCCTCATACAAATGGTTTTGAATTGGATGGATGGATGGATGGAAAGAATCCTGGTATAAAAAAATAGCCTTTATCATATTCATGTTTTCAGACATTTAAAATCATATTAAAAAATTGTAATTTGTTTTAATACAGTTTCTGTTGAATGAAAGCCAAAGTCATCTTCCTTCTGCATGTGAAATAAAGAAAACAAAAAAGCATAATGAAAAAAGGTTTTAAAAAAATGAATTGATTTGAAGAGGGGCAAGTATTATCATGTCAGAAACTCAGTTTATTGTTTTTATTTTTTAGAAACTAATATTTCTAATATTTTGTTTGTTTGAAAGTCAGTGAGCCGTTCCTCTTAACAGTCAGAGGTTTTTGTACGACGGCTCAATGAGTTTGTATCACTGTGGTGGACTTTTGGTGGAGGAACCAGACTGGAGGTTGGAAGTAAGTAAAACTAAATAATTTTACCTTAAGAATAGCTTTTCTTTTCCGTTCATTAATTTTAAGAATTAAAGATGAAATGGAAATGTTGGATAAAAAGGGAAGGATAAAACTTTTACTTTTATCCTTTACGCTTTATAGATAAAGACTGCGCTAGAACACAAAACACTTTATATTAAGATGACATTAATTACATTAATCTTCAAAATACAGAGCACCTCCTTAGTAAAATACTTATTTTCCTGTTAGGTTGTTTAATTTAGCTTTTAGGTTTAGTTCAGTCAGTCAGAGAGCTCTTTCTACAGTCAGAGGTTTTTGTATGACGGCTTAATGAGTTTGTATCACTGTGGTGGACTTTTGGTGGAGGAACCAGACTGGAGGTTGGAAGTAAGTTTACTAAATAATTATTATGAACTTCTGCAATATTTTGAAGGAGTTTGAAATACTTCTCTATTTGTTTAGACAGCAGAAAAATGTATCTTGCATATTTACTTTGTCAGATAAAACAAATTAATTTAGACAAAAATGAATTAGTAACTAAATTATATACAAACTGTATTAATGTTGCTTCTAAATTTATATTAATACTGAGGTTTGGTCATCTTTAAATGTATTTACTTTATGTGTTTATGCTTTTTTGCCTACATGTACTGTAAAAGCAGTAGCACAGTTTAAATTCATGTATGGGAACTGGAGAAGAGCAAAAGCTGTTTTCATATTATTATTTATTTCATATATAATCTATAGTTTAATTTTATGGAGTTTTGGATTTGAAATGTATTCCAATGTGTAATTTTGAATTTATGGACTAGTTGGAGTTGTTGTAAAATCAAGTTCGTTGGCTATTTTATTTGATGTGGACGAGATTCTTTAGAAGGGAAGTGAAAAAATGTGTCAGTGAGAGACGAGTGGTGCATGAAAACATCTGGTAGAAACGTTTCAATAGGAAATCAACTCCAACTGTTACAATATCACAGTTTCTGCTGTTTAAATTCTCTGTTTCGACTCCTACCCAGGATTCTTTGTCAGTTCTATTAGCTCGCACCAGAGCTAAAGTCTCTGCAGTTTCTGTTCTCTAACCTGATTGGTGTCTCCCAGGTAATACCCGTCCCACCGTGACAGTGCTGCCCCCCTCCAGTGAGGATCTGCACCAGGGGAAGGCCACCCTCGTGTGTCTGGCCAACAAGGGCTTCCCCTCAGACTGGAGTCTGTCCTGGAAGGTGGAGGGCAGCATTAACACCTTCACCTGGGAGGAGAACAAGAGCAAAGTAGTGCTGCAGAATGACGGCCTCTACAGCTGGAGCAGCACCCTGAGGCTCCCTGCACACCAGTGGAAGAAGGTGGGCTCTGTGACCTGTGAGGCCACCCAGGGCTCCCAGACTGCAGTCACAGAGACACTGAGGAGAGACCAGTGCTCCCAGTCCTGAGTTCATTCTGGTGTTCTTTGCTACTTTTTCTTCCTTTTTTTTTGCTATTTTATTCATTAGTTATTCTAGACTGCATTTCTTAATGTACGTCTACTTGTGTCCATGAGCTCAATAAAGAATTTTGTAGCAGAAATGTGTATTTAAATTCACCATTAAATACAATTTGAAAACTGCTCTGACTTTTGTATGAGATCAGACCTTTTTTTTTATAAAATAGTTTAAGTTCACTGATCAGTACTAATTTCTCTTATGTAAATCAATAATTTAATCACATCAGGATAATTGATTTGCTTCTTTGTTCAGAAATCTCTCTGTTAGTAGTAGTTTAGACATGAATAAGGAGTAAAGCAGTAAATCGTAATCATTATTAAACTGGTGTTGTGGTTTTAGAAGAAATAAACATTAATAGAAAAAAATGTGAACATCACAATAAGTTGTGTAAAGTTTAAATGGTGAATCAGAAAATTTAGACTGTAACCCCAAGGCAATTGTATACAATAAATGCTTTTTTTTTTTTTTAAGAAATGGGTCTATAAGCAAAACTGCTGATAGCAATAGCAGCACTTTAAATTTATAATGAATAAAAAAAATGAATTTTTATTTTTATTTTGTTTTAAGATGAAAGAAAATACTTTATTTTTTCAATATCTTACTCAAAAAGTAAGATATCAAGAGATTAATGTCTGGATGGTTAATTTGGTATATTGGACCTACTAAATGAACATTCTCAAAATAATTTTAAGTTATATGCCATGATTTAAAAATCTATAACTTTAAATATTATGGCTGTTAATGAAATTCTTTTCACTAAGTGGCCGATGAACTCCAGTCTTAAAAAGGCTGCATAGCCTTTGCAGTTTTTGCTGACTTGACCCCCCTGACATCATGTCTCTTTAAAACCAAGCATTTCATTGGTAGAACACAGGATGCACATCAAACCCAACCGGAAAGGTTGCGTGGTTATAATCAGGGCAAAAGATTCAAATATATTAAAAGAGCTGCACGAAGTGAAATTTCTTTTCAGTTAGGTTCAATAAAAATTCTATTTCTTATGAGGTCAATATACATTTATGATTACGGAATTTTACATAATTTTGACTTAATTTAACTTAAAACTACTGTTCACTATAAAATTTGATTTAGAACTCAAGAAAAACTGTTAAATTCTTCTGTAAAAATCAGAGCAATTTTTTTATGTGCTGTAGAACAAAAAAAAACATTTAGCAGATGAAAACTGGGATGAAGCTATCACCTTATTGTTTTTGAATAATTAGCAAAACAGAATTTGTAAAGACAAATAATTAAATACATCCAAAAGACCTATCAGTAACCATGTCTGTTCCAGTGCATATATGCATTGGGGGGAGCATCTCACTGAAATGAGTTTTTGGAACTTGGGAATGTCTGACTAATGCAAATATGCAAATATACTCTATTAGTGATGCGTGTCTGAGTATACTGATGTGTTTTCTCTTTTTTCATTCAGCTGGAGTTTCTATTTAGTCTGACTAAGGAGGGTTATTGTACGAGTGTTTTTCACTGTGTGAACACATACTGACTGTTGACGAAATTTTCACTCTGACAGTAGTAAACAGCAGCATCTTCAGCCTGAACTCCAGTGATGGTCAGAGTGAAGTCAGAGTTTGATCCACTGCCTGTAAAACGACTTGGAGTCCCTGATGCTCGAGAGCTGGTGTAATAAATGAGCAGCTTGTAAGTTTGTCCCTCTTGCTGTTTATACCAGGCTAAAAGATGGTAACTGCTAGAAACATGAACATTCTGACTGGTCCTGCAGCTGATGCTGACAGATCCTCCCAGATCAGCTCTCACTGCTGCAGGCTGAGTCAATGTGACCTGACCTCTGGACTCTGAGGACACAGAGACAGAAACATAAAGCAGCTTCATGGTTTTTTGGCTTCATTTCAGAGGGACAGATGTTCATAGAGGAGAGGAGTTTGATTCTCTGGACTTTACCTGTGAAGCAGCAGCAGAGGAGAGTCCAGATGAGGACGCAGATATAAGTCATGTTTTTGATGAGGAGGATTTCTGTGTCTTCTGTTGTCATGAAGGACAGCTGTCAGTCATCCAGAGGTCAACTCTCAGGACTATAAATTCTCCCAGAGCGCTGGAGCATGGAGCTGCTGATGCAAAGTGGCTCTATGGAAATGTACGGACTACTGGATCTGTGACAGATAAAAAAAAATCTAAAATTGTAAAACACCAAAGTGACAATGCACAAATAGTTTTGCAACAATAGCTCTGGACCATTTGGAGCAAAACCGAGAATATAAAAGGTTTTTAATGTGCAACTTTAGAACAGAATGTGTGTACTTGTACTTAAAATTTTAACAGGTGTAAAAAAATTTGACTTGTGAAGTTTTTTTTTTTTATTATTCTACAAATACAAATTTAGAATGTAACTCTCTACACAACTTCAAATTCACACTTACAATGCACAACTAGTTTTGATACCAAGTTACCTTCATAGTTAACGAACATGCTTTATTATACCTAAATGGTAAAAAAAAAAAACTTCTGTAGTAAAATGAAATATGTAACTACCAGTAACAAAATCATAGCTCTAATTTAAATTACATTATTAAAATCAAATAATGTTCAAAATATAACCTCTCCTGTATTAGAAAATACAGCTTCAACAAATAACCTAGTTACAGCTTCCCCTGTTTTCCCAGGTCTAGCAAAAATACTCAGTCAACTTTGCAAAAGAGCTCTCACCTCACACCTTTTTTTTTTTAAATGTTTTTTTAGTGTGCATGTGAGCTTTGAGCATCACTTTTATTAGAGATTTCAACATGTGTGCCAGCTTTGCACATTCCAGACTCAGCGTCCCACTTGTCACGACTGGGACGGTAAATGCAACCTTTTTTTTTTTTTTTAATCCAACCCCGTTCATCTCCTCAATAAACCTGTTTAACTTTTACCCTGGGTTTTCTGAGTGGTTTACTGCATGTGGGTCAGATCCCTCAAGAAAATCATGTCACAAATTAGTTCATCACAATGCAGTTTGTAATTTGATCTGTTGTGCCTTGTGTACAGTCACTGTGTTTTGTGTAAAAGCCTAACTGGGGACAGGCATTGAGAATTAGCCTTAGCTAAAATGTTGTAGTGTGTGACATGATTCATGAAACATACTTGTCCCTATCAAATAAACTAATAAATAAATAAATGAATAAATGAATAAATAAATAAAGGATAAAAAGGAACTCAGACTTTAATTTAGAACCAAGAGATCTGAACACAGATTCTTCTAGTAGCAGAGTCTAGGACTAAGCTTTAGTAAACTCTTTAGTACCCTTTGCTGATATGTTCTGAGTTGTTGTTTATTAGTACCTTCCTATTCACTATACAATACTGTTTTGATTAAACAGGGACCAATACCTGCTTATCATGAATAAGTCAAACAAAAGAAAACAACTGAACATTTTCCTTGAAACAAATTTATTGCTTATAATATTGAATCAGTCCAGTATAAAATACAAACATTTTCATGCACATTCAAAACAAAAGAAGGGGCGGTAAAGATGATAAAGAAATAAAAAAATTCAAAATCTTGAGCAGATTAATTTCAGAAACACTGGTCTCTCCTCAGTGTCTCTGTTACTGGACACTGGGAGCCCTGGGATGCCTCGCAGGTCACAGAGCCCACCTTCCTCCACTGGTCTGCAGGGAGCCTCAGGGTGCTGCTCCAGCTGTAGAGGCCGTCCTTCTGCAGAACTCCTCTGCTCTTGTTCTCCTCCCAGCTGCTGCTGCTGCTGCTGCCGTCCACCTTCCAGGACAGACTCCAGTCTGAGGGGAAGCCCTTGTTGGCCAGACACATGAAGATGGCCTTCCCCTGGTGCAGATCCTCGCTGGAGGGGGGCAGCACTGTCAGGACTGGACGGTTATCATCTAAGAGACACCAACCAGGTTAGAGAACAGAAACTTGAAGGACTTTAAACAGCATAAAGTGTGAGATGGTTACAGTAAGAAAGGGGTTTCCTATAATTAAAGGTTTGGCCAGATGTCTTCATGCTCCACTCGTCTCTCACTGACACATTGTTTCACTTCCTTTTAAGAGCCTCAGGTCCACACAAATAGAATCACCAATTAACTTGATTTAAAATAAAATGTGAATCTAGGCATTCAATTTAAATTTAACAATAAAATAACTTTTAATGTCATATTTACATTTTTTTTTTGGAGAAAATGTTCTTAACTTTAATGTTAAACGGTTCATTTTAAAATACTAAAACTGAGAAAAAAAGACGATGAAGTAGCTTATGAAGTGACTGTATATCTGTGGTTTATAAATCATCTCTTTCTGCTAATAACATCAACTTTGGTTCTGCTTAAATTCTGATTTATCAATTTAAACAGGAGCAACTGGTTTTCTAACAGGCAGTAAAGCATTAAACATATAAACTAATAATATTAAAAAATTACTCAACTTAATTTGAACATTTAAACAACTTATAATGTAACTTACATATAAAGTACGTAATATTCCAATACATCTTAATCTGTTCTTTTAGTCTAACAAAGTAGTTAGTAAAAATACTTACATTTTCCTCCTCTAGAAGATAACAAGAAGTATTTCTAACGACTACAAAATGTTATAGAGGTTAGTATAAAATACAAAATTAAGTTATTCCCAACCTCCAGTCTGTTTCCAACTCCAAAAATCGACCACAGTGATAAAAACTCCTAGAGACCTCATAGAAAAAACTCTTACTGTAGAGAGACATGGCTTTTTGACTTTTTGAGTCTGACATAAATAAACCTTCAACTTAAAAATAAACAACTAGACAGGAAAACACATTTGTCACACGGCAATACCTTGTATTTAACAATATTTTATGCTATCTCTCTATCATAGTGTCTTTTGTTTCCAAACGCCTTCTTTGCACAAAAAAAAATCATTCCATCCGTAATTTTCAATTGATATAAAACAAAACAAAAAGTATTTCTAAAGAAATAAAACTTTTACTTACTTCCAACCTCCAGTCTAGTTCCTCCACCAAACGTGTACCACAGTGATACAAACACATTGAGCCGCTGTACAAAAACCTCTGACTGTAGAGTGGGACGGATCACTGAATCTAACACAAACAAAACATTAGAACTACAAGTTTCTAAAAGTAAAAAATAATAAAGTTACTTTCTTGTCACACGCCGCCATGAAAAGGTTACCCTAGTAAATCGATTATTCTTAGGTAAAAGGTTGGGTACACCCTGGACAGGTCAGCAATTAATCCCACAGCAACAGTTCTTTAGTTAAACATCTGTATGATGACAGTTTCTATGACAACAACAATAAAACACATGCATAATAAATAAAAACAGTCAAGAGTTTTAGACTTTTTAAACTAAATTAGTTTTGCTTAAACAGTTTACAATATGATATAATAATTACTTGATCTTTAGAGTTTTAGAATAGCATGTATCAGCTTGGATTTAATTTGAGTCAATTCTGATTCCGCCTAGCTCCTAGCTGGGCGGAGGGAGACATGCATCTGGCTGTTGTCAGGTTAGTAGGCCCTAGCTGTCT